AATGCGCGCTCGGTGCCGTGGCGGTTGCTGTGTCCCAGCCTGTTCTCTGCCGTATGATCATGAAGCTCCTCGATGCAAAAGAGACCCCCAATTGGACCCTCTCTTCACAGCTATCTCCGGTCGTGTTGGCGCAAGGGGTTGCAGATGTCGCGATAGCGTGTCCACTTCCCCAAGGCGATGGCATCAAACACGCTAGCTGATTTACAAGCCACTCTCCAGCCGCCGTTGCGTTACGTCAGCATGGGCTTCAGCCTCACGCGCGCTAGCTGCATCGTGCCTGGCGGAGTGGATCTTTGGTTTGTGCGACGACCGCGGGAGCTTTGCCTAAAGCACAAGGCCATGACGCGATCATCGCGACGACAAAGTGACGCTTCTCCGCCGTATGCTATTGGGTACCTGACTTTGGAGGGAAAACAACGCCTAGATCTCTAGGCTCGCTGCACTACTTGCTTCTTCTCCACATACCAAGGTTTCCATTGACTGTCCCTACTTCGTGCGTCACACCACCCAGCACGACACACAGCACCTTCCACTTCATCTCTGTCACTCTAAACCTCCACCCTTACCTTCCCCCACTTCCACCTCGTCAATTGAAGGCAGACAGCAGGACCAACAGCAATCATGTCGCCTCTCTCTGTTCCTAAAATTTTCATGGCTGGCGGCGCCGTCGGCTTCGGCTACTACCTCTTCATGCGCCAATACTGGTTCCCCAACCCGTACAAGACACAGGGCGTCCAGAACATTGAGGATCGCTTCTCAGCTGGCGGAGGCCACCCCACGCACACACCTGCTGGAGGAACCCAGCGCGGTACGGGTACAATGAGCTCCCCAGACTTAAAACCCTGGAAGTACATAGAACGGAGTTTGCTGACATCAAGCTTGTAGGCTCTGCGTCCGCAAACGAAGGAAGGCACGACGGCCCGAGCAAGGGCCCAGACTCGGAGCACTTCAAGAAGAACATCAGCGACCAGCAGAGTGAGGTATGTGGCACACTGATTTCGATGCCCAAGAACTGTGCTAACGTGCGATAGCCTGTCTGGCCGAGCAAATTCAACGAGATACAATACAACAACCCCAAGGGCAAATAAGCGACTCCGGAACGATCGAGCAGACACAAAAGCATGGCAACATATTGCCAAGGGGCATTGGGCATCTGATGAATGGCATCATTGGCGTTTGGCAGATAGCGATGCACGATAGCATCCGGTAGATTTTTGAAACCCTCACTGTTGCGGCCAGTTGAGCGCAATGAGGCCCCCAGATAATCGAGAAATAACAAAACCAACTTTCCAAGGAGCGCCCAATGCTGTGTCGCTGTCAGCGACTCTCGCTACCTGATGAAGTTCATGCTGTTCCGCGTAGCTATGGAAGTGGAACTACACATGCCAGGATCATATTGACGAATAAGCAACGTCACACCGCAACAAAACGAACCGATGTAATGCAGCGAAGGAATTCAGCAAGACAGTGTTCACACGCGCTGGCTGTTTGAAAGTGGGACGTATACAAATGCTGGCGATTATGTACGAAAGAGTCAAAGGCCTAGATCTTCGCATTGCCCGTTTTCCTTGCGGCTGTGTTCCTAGCAGCATCCAACACAAATGCTACATGATGGCTCAAAGCCACCAGATCGCCGTCAGCATTGTGTACCCACACTTCCAAGTCCATCCTACCGTTTGCCACCTTCTTCATACCCGCCCTAACCTGCAGCCACTTGACTCCCTGCGGCGGCAGCGCTTTCTTGATGTCCAGATTCAGTAGGAGGGTTGGATACCAAAAGGGTCCCTCTCCTTCGCCCTTGATTGACTCAACCATCAGCGGGAACATGTCTGCGACAAAGCCGACCGAGGAATCCGTGAAGTTTGTCCCATCAGAGAAGCAGATCCACTCATCAGCGAGATGCTTTAGGCTTCGTCCTTCCCGAGGGAAATAAAACTTCACCCTCTTCGTCGCTTTTCGGAAGTTGGCGTGCGGCAATTCTGGTTGGAGCCTCCAGTTTGTATCTTCATCATTTTCCAGCTTTGTCAGGTCGACTGACGGGACGGGCGGTGAAAGCTTGTATCCGACATCTTGGGTGAAGCCCTTTTCCGTATCCATGTTGGAGTTTGTGACGTACGCGACGACTTCCTGTCGGCCATCTTGCTCCATGGTCACATGTACGATAGACGTTTGGCGACCAAGTTTAACATCATCGACTTTGTATGTTGCGGGCCCGGCTTGGGTCCGTCTCAGGAACTCAATATGGAGAGCTATGGTGTGTGGCTGGTTCTGCTTCGCCAAAGTTGTGCTGAAATGTGTTTTGACTACCTCCAGTATGCTAAGAAGTCGAGATGTGGTTAGTCAAGGGTGTGAAGCAGAATGCGATGGGCCTTACCATCCTGTAACGTAGCCACCATTAGGAACTGTTGCCGTTAGTAAAAGCGGATGATGTTATCTCTGCTGGGGTCTAAAATACCGCTTCCGATGCTCCAATCATCGTGTAGTGTACATGAGTACGTGTTGGAGGACAGTTTCTGTACTGCAGTAGCTTCTTCCCAACTCGGCATCTTGATAGCCTAATAGTGCGAAACTTTCGTGCGTTTGGAGAACTACTAGGTCTATATGGTCAGGCTATCGTTGTTCGAGGTTGTCGCAATGCCGTTGACCTCGGGAGGCCATGTGCAGCTATCGCGCCGCTAACGCCAAAAGCAGAAAGAACCTCGGTCATGGTTGCCCGGAGTTGTGGGGTTTACCCCGGTCGACTAATCATGGCCAGCCGTCTCAATGCGCTGCGTCTGCCCTCGGTATTCCCAGGTCCGTTAGAACGCGACGGGCTATGTCCGTCTTCTCATTCTGGCATCCTTCTACTTTCACTCTACCCCCTCCATAAGATTCCTTGGCTCGGTACTGATAATCAACACGACACCGATCTTCAACCACTAAGATGCCGTCCGAAAGCCAGTATCCTAGCTTGCCGATCCCAGACGTTGATCTGGTAAGTTTGACATACGGAGATAAGCTCTTTTGTGGAACTAATGCTGACGTTTGTCTTTAATCGTAGTGGGCGTTTCTCTTCGAAAGGAATGACAGGCCGTACGCAGATGACAAAGGTATGTTCTCATGTTTTGTCAACATAAGTAATCACTAAAACGGGAAATAGTAATCTACTTTGATCCCTACACTAAGCGGTCCTACACATACGCCCAGGTCAAAGATGCCGCTATCAACTTTGGCAAAGGGCTAAAGGCACTCTGGGACTGGCAAAAAGGCGATGTCCTCGCTTTATACACACCTAACTGCATCGACACACCAGCGATAACATGGGGTTGCCACTGGGCAGGCGGTATCCTGTCGCCAGCCAACCCAAACTACACGGTCGATGAACTTGCGTTCCAACTTAAAGACTCTGGTGCAAAGGGCCTGGTAACACAGCTACCTTTCATCAAGAATGCGCAAGAAGCGGCAAAGAAGGTTGGCATTCCTCTTGACCGTGTGATCGTGATGGGCGACCAGAAGGATCCTTCGTACCAAGTCAAGCACTTCACCAGTATCATCAATACAGCCGGATCTTCCAAGTGGCGGAGAACAAAGGCTAGCAATCCATCGGAGGACCTTGCATTCTTGGTCTACTCCAGCGGAACCACAGGTCATCCCAAGGGTGTGATGTTGACCCACCGCAACATTGTCGCCAACACGATGATGATCAAAGCCGCGGAGGCTGGTAAACTGCAGCCCACAGGAGGAGCAACTGGCGAAGGCGACAAACTGCTGGCTTTCCTGCCCTTCTTCCACATTTACGGTAAGTTCCTGCATGCGCTCATCTAGGTGGTTCTCAACTGACTTCGACTAGGTCTCACGTGTCTAATCCATCAAAGCTTGTACTCTGGTCTCCAACTTGTTGTAATGCCGAAGTTCGACCTGGAGGACTTCTGCAGGTTCATTCAAGAGCTCAAGATAACATTCGCGTATGTGGTCCCACCGATCGTTCTGCTCTTAAGCAAACACCCTCTTGTATCGAAGTACGACTTGAGCTCGATCCGGATGATGAACTCTGGCGCGGCGCCCTTAACAAGAGAGCTTGTAGAGGCAGTTCACAGCAGACTGCAGATTCCTGTCAAACAAGGATACGGTCTTTCAGAAACCAGCCCAACAACGCACACCCAGCCCTGGGAGGACTGGGACAAGACCATCGGATCTGTGGGCAAGCTTCTTCCCTACCAAATAGCGAAGTATATGTCTCCAGAGGAAAAGGAGATGGCGGTCGGTGAGGTTGGCGAACTATGGATCAAGGGCCCGAACGTCTTCAAGGGCTACCTTAATAACCCTGAGGGAACCGCGCATGCAAAGACAGCAGACGGGTACTTCAAGACAGGCGATGTTGGATACCAAGACAAGGACGGAAACTTCTTCATTACCGACCGCGTGAAGGAGCTCATCAAGTACAAGGGATTCCAGGTACCACCCGCGGAACTAGAGGGTATCCTGGTCTCGCACCCGAAGATCAACGACGTAGCGGTGATTGGCGTCTACTCGAAAGACGATGCCTCCGAACTTCCACGCGCCTACGTTGTACCCAAAGATGGATTGGGCAAGACGGACGAAGACGCGAAGGAGATCATAGACTGGTTGAGCGCCAAGGTCGCGCACCACAAGAGACTTCGCGGCGGAGTGAGATGGGTTGATGAAATTCCGAAGTCTGTAAGCGGAAAGATTCTTAGGCGGATGCTCAAGGTGAAGGCGCAGGAGGAGGAGGATAACAAGGCGAAAGCGAAGTTGTAGATTAGCTTTACCTCGAAACCGCAGTATATACATATCAATATACACGCGTCTCTTACCAGCTGGACCCTTGAATCTTTCTTTAACTGTTGATCGCTCGCGCCCTCCATCAGCTTTCTTCTACCTCATCTCTTCTACTCACCTGAATAATCTGGAGGACTAATTCTCTTTTCACCAAGCCTTCTCTCGTCCAGAACCGTCAATACCGTCATATATCCTACGTGCAACCTTGCATGATCAGCAACATGCAGAGTGAGTCAGAAATTTAGAGGATATTGATGTGGCTCTTCCAAGCTAATGGCATACCAGCCCCCAAGCCCACGCCGACCCCCAGGGCTGCTCCGGCTCCCAAAGCCACTACCAAGCGCAGAGCGGAAGAAGACTACGTTGAAGTTGTTGGAGAAAGGATAATTAAAAGGCGCTTCGAACCAGTTGCCAAGATCTTAACTGAGAAGGAAGAACTGGACTCTCCTTATCAGATTTCCGTCAGAGTACATCCAGACCTCGAAAGATTCCCTGGCGCACTACGCAATGCCCTCCAAAAAGCTTGCCAGACAGCGTTCTACACGCACATATCAACACTCCAGGCTGGTAGTTTACCCGAGTATCGTCAGACTTATAGCATCATATATGGTACACGCGTCCGCTCTGAGTCGATCACCTTCAACAACGAAACCGAACATTCGAATATCCTGGATCTCAGCATAGCCAACATCACCCTATTGAAGTTCTTCGCCGAGCGCCACAGCACCATGCTAGAGAAACGGTCATTCCAAGAGCAGAAACATATGGGACTCACCAACCCAAAGTTCCTAGAGCTTTACAGCGTAAGAAGGGGCGATCTGGGTTGGGGTCTGGACGCAGATGGGTGCCTATCTATCTACGCATCTTCGCTAGTCGAAAAAAAGACGAAGGAGCATGTTTGGTACGTCCAGGCTGACGATTCTCTAGTGCTCAAGGGCGAGAACTGAGCTGTCCGGAAGAGCTTACAGAGAGCTGAGTACAGAAACAGGGAGCTAGGTCAGGTATGAAAGGCATGACCTAGGTAGTGATGATATTCGAGGTTTCGGAGTTGGTCGGAGTGTTCCCGGGAATGGGCCGGCTGGTTGATGCTAGAATTTGGCGAGGTGGTTCTTGCTGTACTTTTTGCTTGGCTGATTGCAATGGCAAGTATCACCCTTTAGCATTGAGAACGTTCACCTGAATCCAGGATGCAAGGTGGTGGCTCCGTTTCCGTGCAAGCTCTGGAGTGAGGCTGCGCACATTCGAGCGATGGTGATCATCCACTTCCAATCATCACCGAAGATGGTCTGCGCACACAAGTCTTTCTGTAAGGAATGTAATTCAAGCCTTTAAAGTTGGTGTTTGTGGTTACCGTCCAAGAGCATCAGTTGATCGGGGAGAGCACGTGCCTGCTTACAGCTAGCGCCATCTTGGCACCACCGCACAGCCGAGCCAAAATTACCCTCTCAGATTTGCGACTCTGAACCCATCTATCGACAACATCACGACCGTCACGATGCCGAAAGAAGTCAAGCAGAAGTCTGGCCTCATCGTTGGCCTTAACGCCGGCCACAGTACGTCTCCCCGCTCGCCGCTCTCGATACGCACCGATCGCTACAGATGAGAAAATTCGTGGATGGAGGCTAACACGGTCTACAGAGGTCACCCCCAGGACCCCCGCTCCCAGGATCTCGAGGAGGAAGGGTTTCCTGTCGAAGCGCACTGCCTTCGTCCGTGAGATCACCAAGGAGGTTGCCGGGTACGTTCCAATCCGAACTTTTCTGCAGAGGGACTGCGCAATTGTTCGCCGAACAGCCCGCTAACTTGACGTGTCTACAGTCTTGCCCCATACGAGAAGCGCATCATCGAATTGCTCCGAAACTCCAAGGACAAGCGTGCCCGCCGCCTAGCGAAGAAGAGGGTACGTCTCCCACCCTAGCACACCACGACCGACCTCCTACCCGCTCCGGCACATCCAAGTACGAACATCAACTAACACATCACAGCTCGGTACCTTCGGTCGCTCAAAGAGAAAGGTCGACGAGATGACCCGCGTCATCGCTGAGTCCAAGCGCGCTGGTCACTAAACGGTTTACGAAACGCGGTGGATGAAGCAACACGGCGGACGAACGACCAACTTACTTTCCGATTTCTTCCTGGGTGTTCGGTCTCTTTTCACAACGGGCGGCTCGATACGATCTCGGAACGTCACAACATACCACAAAAAGTATGACACGATTCATCGGAGTATGGCAAATGGACAATGATGGTTCCTGAACGTACCTAGCATGTGTCACTCAAAATCATGAAATGTGACGATTGGTTCACGCCAAACCAACCTGTCCCAGTGCACCCATGCGCGTGAGGTGCTGATGCGTTGATGCCTACCTAGCATGGATGTCAAATTCCTACTCTATTGCCCTTATCAATGGCAGAGTAAGGGCCGAGAAATGCTTATATTGAAACGCGCCTTGCTCGGAGACGAGACTGCTCAGGCTTCACACTTCCTTGTGTGGGTGAGGCCTCGAGCAGAGGCGTGGACATTCCAACAACTTATATGATGTCTTCTTTTACACTTCCAGACGACTTGCGATGCGGTACAGCACATGCAACTCACTTTAATATCTCGATCAGACAGTAGCAATGATTGGGTATTTCAGATTGTTTGCGGGAAGTGAACATCATGCATTAATCGTAATTCTGTCGAAACCAGTAAATGCTCCAATATGACTCCATGTAACCCTGCTAGCCACAACTGTGACAGCATTGTCGTTTAGTCGTCGTGGCCAATCTTCTCCAGTTTGCCAATCTCGCGCTTCTCGCCAGTCTCGCCCACGAATCTGATACGGTCGATACGCGTCTTCTCGCTATCGCCCTCGGCGTCCGCGACAAACAGTACTAACGAGTAAACGTTCTGGAACTTGACGAAGCGCAGTTCAAGCTTGGCCGTTTGTGTCTGCTCATCCCAATCTGACGGCTTCAGCTCGATCGTCTGAGTCGCTGGGATGTCTTCGGCCTCTTCGAATCCCAGGTTATTTGCCCTGTTGGTCCAGACGTGAATGGTCTTTGGCCGTACTGGCGCTTCGTCGTCGTCTTCGTCGCCGGGTACGCAAGACGTGATGTGGATAGTGTGAACCTTCAGGTTGGCCATGAAGGGTACGTATAGCATGAGCTGGTTATCGACATCGCTCTCTACCCAGTCCTTCTTGCCTTCTGAGCCGGTTGCTGCACCCTTGCCCTTGTTGAGCGAGCTCGGTTGTGATGTCTCGAAAAGCGTCTTGACGGTGCCGAAATCGCTGTCCGCGTTGAGAAGATCGAGGCCCCGTGGGTCCACGGAATCGGTCACGTCGGTGTATCCGCGTGGTAGACTGGCGCCTATCCACGGGCCGCTTCCACTGCTGCTGCCTCCTGCACCAGAAGCGCCACTGTTTCCCTTTCCATCGTTCTCTGCCTCCGTGGCGAGGGTCTTGATCGCCTCGGAAAGCTGCTGTGGATTCGAGCCGGCGTACTTCTTTATCTGCTGGTTGTTCTTGCAGATGATGAACGTTGGGGTACTAACAAGCGTTAGAAAGCGCTCAAATATGTGGCCGTGCTTGGAGAATGTGCATACTTGGTGACGTTGTAGCTCTGTGCAATCTGCGCCTGCTGTACTGTGCTGACTTTGGCGAAGGCGATCTGTCCGGGCCGAGTGAGTTGACCGGCTAGTTGGTCGTATACGGGCGCAATCGCTTTGCTCGACGTGTTTTCTTCATTGTAGACTGCAAGTACCACACATTAGCATCCGCAGTTTGCCTCGTAGATGCCGGGTCGCTGCTTACAATTGATGACTACAATGCGCGAAGAGGAGAGCAGCTCGCTCAGCACTGCAGGCCTCGTGATTTCGATGACCCTGGACATGGCTGTGGGTGTATTGAGGAGCTGGTAATGTTGGCTGTAGAAGAGGCGCGACTTGCACAGAAGGAAGCGCCCGACAATTAGTGGGGCGCCATCAGCGCGGGGTGGTGGCATTCCGTCACCGACGTGTGTACCTAGGCCGGGTCCCATCTGCAGGCACCGACACCTGCACACGCGGCAAGGCCACCCCGAAGCTTCCAGAAAGATAAAGCTGCAATCGCGAACAGCCGCCCAAACATCTGCTCCCTCAACATCACTGGCGCCCAGGAAGACGACCACTCGCCGAGTCTATATCTGTTCCATCGCCGTCGGAGCATCGTCCTCGCCATCGCCCGCCAACCACGTCCATCACCGCCGACCGCGGTGACTGCCCTGTGAAGCCATACAGGCCCACGAAGGATTGGTAAGCGCCCCTACCGGCGTTGACCGTCCGCGACACTGTGAACATCCACCTAATCGCCTCTATGGCAGGCCCAAACAATCTCCTACTCAGCTTCGCCGAAGCAAAGCTTCTACACATCGCTAGCATTATCCTCCTGGTCGAACGGAGCGACGCCACTCGAAGAGCCCATAGCTGGAACTGCTGGTACTCCCGCGCCATTCTGATAGCCAACGCGCCCGCTGCTTTCCTTCTCGCCCACGGCCTCTACCGACTCCTACGCGCATGATGTCGCACGTCGTAGTATTCAACTCGTACGCGAGGACTTTCAAGATCCCGACCACGCCCACCAAGTACTTGACAGAGGTGCGCGATGAGGCGTGCCAGAAGTTTGGTGTCAACAAGGACCAGTTCACGCTCAAGTACGCCCCAACATGACAATACGTTAATTCACTACTGACCAGTGTACAGATACAACAACAAACCTATATCCCTATCGCAACAAATACGGCTCGCAAACCTCCCCCAGGGCGCCCGACTGGAACTCGTCCAGGCCTCGCGATCACCCACCGTCATATCCGTAGCGCTCCAGCTCCCCGCGACCGAGAAGAACGTACGCCTCACAAGCAAGTTCGCGAGCAACACTTCGTTATGGGAGATCTTGCGACACTTTGAGAGTGGGCAGGGGGCCAACTACAACTTCACACAGCGCGGTATTCCCGAGATGAGCGGCGCATCTGGTGCTGGCAGGCTGCACTACGAGCAACCTGTAATCACTGTCATGCCAGGTCACAAGGAGCAGGCCAACTTTGTTGAGCTACAACAGACTCTCAGCCAACTGGGATTTGATAGCGGCTCAGCATTATTAAAGCTGTCCTACAGGAACAGCGGAACGCCGCTGGAAGAGGCCATGGCACAGATAACGCAATACTTCAAGTCCAGCGAGCCTGCGTCTGCTGGTGCCGAAGGCGCACACGCTTCGACAACTGATCAATTAGCCTCAATACCAGACCCTGCCCAGGCAGCTCCGGAGGCGACAGAAGTCGTAGCAGGCGAAACTGTTCGTAACGAAGAGCCCGATCCACAGCCCATGGAGGTCGACTCCAAACCGGCCGCTAAACCTACACAAGAGCCCGAGGTGTCTACCGAGAACAACGCGGCTGAGAGCATAGAGAATACTTCTCCAGCAGCAGCATTGGCTGCGGCAACGTCAACAGCGTCGTCCGCACCCGTAGAACCCGTTCAATCACCAGCACCGACCTCCCAACCATCATCACAGCCATCTGAACAATCTCGCAACGTCCAGATCTTCTCTGCGCCAACATCGTCCACTCCGCAAGCAGCGCGAAATGCCTTCAACGAGAACGACTACCTCCCTACCATTGAACACGCAAAAGCACATCAAAACGCGTTGTTGACCAAGACACGCAATACGCGTCTGTTGTCTGACAAAGAGTTGGAGGAGCAAGAAAAGGAGCGGCAGGCCAAGATTGACGCTGCAGCCGAGAAGGGCGGCGCGCTCCGCATTCGGATGCCGGATAATGCGCTCATTCAGATGAACTTCACAAAGACCGATACCGCCGTCGGCCTATACGACTTCGTACGCGGCTTCCTGGAGAAGAAGAACGAGCCCTTCCAGCTCAAGAACACGGGTCCAACAGGTCGACTCGTCCTCATTCCCCAGGACAATAAGCG